GAATTAGGAAAGATCATTCTAAGAGCATTCATAAGAGCCAACTCTCTATCATTCACAATAATGCTGGGCTTCTCTATTTCATCAAACAATCTTAAAACATGCGTTAGGGACTAATTGTAATTTATTTCTTCTTTACTTTTTATGAATATGAAGCAAGTATAAAAGGTTGTATTGAAACTAGTTATACCTACAATACTTAATAATAGCATTTTAAATTTGTTTGTTTTGTAGATACAATCAATAAAAATTACTGTAGAGTATTGACAAATAAGACAAGTTGATTCTTTATATACAAAAAACAAGTGGATAACAGAACTGGTATTATTATATTTGTACTTATACAAAAAATTACCTTCTTGAAGCTTATCTACTAACACCTAGATAGGAGTTCGACTAGCCAGATTTTGTTGTCAAAGTTTTGTACATGTATTATAGATATTACTGTTAATGACTAGACTGATGGATCATTTTGTCAAATTGTTGATACAATTTCATGAGAACTTGAACTAGCAATAGTCATCAATATAACATTTTCTATCTGTTGCTTTGTAAGTTGACGAGCAACGGGATACTCTAACATATTGTCTGAGGGATTATGATTATGTATAGTATCACGAACTTCCAAATGCTATGAGCCATTGTATCGGGCAGTATACAATTCAAAAGGACAGTCTATTAATCTAGTACTTTTTTGTCTACTATGTGCTTCTTTAGATAACCTAAGAGAGTTACTATAAACACCACCCTGGTCACAACGTAATGTCATATTTTTTAATTTACTATACGCATCTTTCCGAGTTCTTTTTTTAATCAATGCATAGCCTTGAGAATTTGTAAATTTTTGTATACTCTGGAAAAGTTCATTAGTACTGTCGTATACTTCAGAAGAAGGAGAAAGTATGATTTATTGACAAGAAAAAAAATCAATTGATTATGCGAAAGATTTATTGGCATGATTATTTTATTAACTTATATAATACTTGATATAGAGATGATTTCAATGGAGATAGAAAAAAGAGCACAAAGAATGAAGAATTATAAAAAAAAAAAAATAAACTAAGAGAAAAAGCACAAAAAATAGAAATTATAAAAAAAAAAAAATACTAAAGAAAAAAAGCACAAAGATCAAAAATTACAAAAAAAAAACAAAATATCGCAATAGTAAATTAATCTTTAAAATGTTTACGATTTATTATAGCTTTTGAAACAAACATTTAAAGGCAAGATTATTTTTAATTTGTGATTATTTTTAACTTTTCTCCTTTTTATTTTTAGATTTATAAAAGTTTTTTACTACTTTTCTCGATCTAGTATGTTGGGGCTTCAAGGTTTCATAATGAAATTTTTTTTTATTTTACCTTCCTTTTTTATTTCAAAGCTTTTGAGTATTGCAGAGTGAAAACCTGTCTATAACTTTACTTAAAGATCAATTACAGGTTTTCACTCTGCAATGCTTATTTATTCTTTAATTTCATAATCGCATTTTTTTTATACAAATTTTCATGATTTATTCTAGCATCCTGCTCTATACTCTTTTAAAATATATTATATCTCTTCTCTTCACAATTTCACTCTAAAAGTGTATAGAGTGCGGCTTAGAATATGCTATAGTAAAGTTGTGAAAGTAATCAATAAATCTAACATTTGATTAAAAAAGGTATCAACTACTTTTTGTGTATTGCTACAATCTGTTCATAGCCACCCCTACAACTTTTCAGATTTATTGCATTTCACATTCTTTATCTTAAATCTGCATTAATGCTACCACAATATTGTGTTTTTTTTACTAACTGAAATTAATTAATCTATTAATCATAGTCACACCCATTTGGATTTACTGTATCGCTTTTTTCATATTAATTTGCACTATTAATAAAATTAATTTTATCATATTTTACTCAAGCTATAATCTACACTATTTTGGGACCTCAGAATTTATCTATTCTTTATTTGATTAGTACTTCTGGGTTTGCATGTGATCATTATATTAGAAGATTAAAAGTTTGTGATAGAGAAGCCCAGCATTATTGTGAATGATAGAGAGTTGGCTCTTATGAATGCTCTTAGAATGATCTTTCCTAATTC